TCCTTCTTGTGGGACATTTCTGGAGCTTTCGGGGTCAGCTGTTCTCAGCACCCAATAATTCAGCATGAAGCATACAGCTGTTAATCCAGCTGTGCAGTGACTGCAGCCTGCAATAGCTGATGGGCCATCCCTTGGCTCCTGGCTGGGGTCTGTGCTTCCAGGCTCACATCTGTCAGTGCCTCTGACAGGCCAGCAGCAGCACCTGGTTTGCACGTTGGTTGTCAGATCCCCTCTTCCTCAGTCTCTGTGAGACCCTGCATAGTAAAATGTCTTGGATATGGGTTTTCATCTGAGAGGCTTAAACGTTTCCCTGAAGTCTCCCTTCTGTGCTTCTTTCCATTTGCCACAGAGAGGTGGTGAGCACTGTCTCTATGATGCCCTATGAAGCACACATGAGAGCCCAGGAAAGGTTGCCCAGGACTCTCAGGAGACATTCTGGAGCATGAATTTGTAGGTAGGAAGTGCAACTGTGATGCAGCGCAGAGCTGCTGGGCAGGTGGTGCAGGTCCTCCTGCAGAGCTCTGTGTCCTTCTCCTTCCTGAGTCAGGTGCCACTTCCATCTCAGGAATGGAACAGCCAACAGAGGTGAGACAGAAACTTTTCAAGAAAAGGCTCAGTGTTGCACTGAGAGACAGAATTCAGTGATGTGGTGGTGCTGTGTTGAGCTGAAACTCAGCCCCATAGCCCCTTAGCCTTGCAGCTCCTGTGGCTTGGTGACAGTGCTGCTGTGTGGCTGCAAACACAAGCAAGGACACGCAGTGGGCACTTCTGTCACACAGACTGTTTCCACCACAGCAAGTCCATCGTTAATGGAGATCTCCTCATGGCAGTGCTTGAAGGCTCCGGGCTTCTTTAAAAGTTGCTGCCAAGAACATTCCCAAGGAATGGACTGCACAGATTCCCACACTTACTCTCCCACTCATGCTAAAACCAAGCTTTAATTGCTAGCATTATAATATTGTATTTAACAATTGTTAAATACCCTCACTGCAGCCCATAACAGAACACTAATCCGTAATGCTTACCTGTACCCTAACACTGTCCTGAAAACCTTAGCAGAACACCAAGCTCTCTCACTAAACATTTGCTTACTCTCTGCCCCAAAAGGTGACTTCTAACCCTTAATCCCTATCCTGAACACCCAACACCCACAGAGCCTGCACCTGTGCTCTGCCCTCCTCACCTTCATTCCCTCCCCTAACCCTAAACTTTGGATACTTGGCTATGCAGGGCAGAGCAGGACTGGTGGAGTCTCAGAGCAAATCCATGTAATGCAGTGATGAATGTGAGGCGACGTCTGTACAGGAGGTGACGTGTGACTGAGCAGCTTGAGGCCATAAGGAGGAGGTGGGTAGGAATGCTGCCATGAGCTCAGCTCTACCTCAGGCCCTCATGGGCCTGCAGGTGGCACAAGGCTGTGAAGGTGGCTGTGAGATCACTTCTATGTGTGGAGTTGACAGGCCAGCCCCAGGAGCGTGTCCCAGAAAGGAATGGTGTGCTGCCTTCGGGCTGAAGCAACTGGTGGTCAGCCCTTGACTTCTGGCTGGGATCTGTGCACACAGGATCACATCTGCAGTGTCCCTGAGAGGCCGACAGAAAGTGCCAGGTTGACGTGTTGGCTGTGGGATCCTCTCTGCCTGAGCACCTGGTAGGGCCCATGGAGGAAGACGGAGGTTTGTGTAAGGGATTGTGATGGCTCTTCTGTGTGAGGACACAACTCCATAGCAGGAGGGACGTGACTTGGTCGTGTCTGTCCATGAAGCTGGCACGCACCTTGGAAGATGATGGTGAGGTTCCTTCTTCTCAATGGCTGACAGGCCACAAGAAAGCTGATGGGTGGCGTTTCCATGAGGAATTGATTTCCAACATGATGAAGTTGACCTTGGTATAGAAAATGTGCAAAGGGGGAAAAAACTCCCTCAAAGTGCAGCTTGAAAGCTCAAGACTGGACACGAGGAGGAAGAAATGTCACTGGAAGAGTTATGATGTGGGGCCATGCTGAGGGATCACTCCATGGCTTTGTGTTTCAAGGGACGTTCAGAGGGGCTTGAGAGACATCAGTGACATGACTGAAGTGCCAGGGTCAGAGCGGGTCGGAGAGGAGAGGTGGGTGTCTGCAGACCACAGGGAAATAGGGGCTGGGCTGGAGCAGCATAGGAAAGCCTGCAGAGGAGAAGGCAGTGGGTGCTGGTGAGAATGGAAGGCCCAAAACCAATGAAATCTTTGTCCCCTTGGCCATGGTTTGTGAGGAGATTTATTATGCTTATGGTAATGGGGCCTCACTGCCTCCTTGCATCCCTGTGCAGAGCTTGGGAGGTGTCACACTGCTGTCCTTCACATGGTGTGCCCCACCACACCAACCCCAGGACGAGCCCTGAGCTCATTCCCTCAGATTCTATCATGGAGTTAACTAGATCAATCTACACCCATGACAGGGATATGGATCTCCCCTCCAGTATCTGGATGTCAGGCCCTGGCCCTTCTCCTTCATCAAACAAACCAAGAGATTTCTCAGCACAATACTTTACCTAACTGTAATCATTGCCTCCAATTCCCTGCTCTAACGAGTCCAAGGGGAGGCTGTGTTGTAATGTCCCTCAGTGGGTACCATTAGTGCGCCAAGATCCGTCAAGTTTTTCGTCCGACTTTACTTTCGCAAGTGCTTACAGCATTCTCCTCTCAGTACCTGAGGTTCATAGACCAGGCATCAAAGGTACCATGCGTCTCTCTGAAGTGCAGAAAGTTCCAGTGAGCCATGTCTGTTTCATAATATCCTTGAAGTCAAGATTTATACAGCTAGGTGGAGAGGCTTCATAATGTAGTAAAGGAAGAAGATTTCAAAGGGCACCCAATAATTTTTTTTTTTTCTGATTTAAAGTAGTGCATCTTGTTGCTTTTGGGGCATCATTCACCAACTGATGTTGATCCAGAGAGTCTTCTAAGGAGATCTACATAGGCAGGAAAAGCAATTGCTTGAGGTCTGACACAGTACGGACAACCTGACTGCTCACCTCCCCAGGCCTGACGTGTCTGCTGTATGCCACCTGGCACTTGCATCACTTTTCCCGACAGCAGAATTCTCCACTGAAGTCTGCAGCTGGATGGTACAGTTCCTTCAGACCATTCCTTTACCTGCTTTCCTTAGAGAACTGTCTGCGCATGGGCACAGGACAGGTTTCCAACTTTAAAACAAGCAACAGTAAAATACAATACAATTTCCCTAAAAACAGAGCATACTCCTCAGCCATATCCCACCAGTGTGGTTCACCTTCCCAAAAGGAGAAGTACTTTACACAGGTAGATAGGAAATGATAAATATTAATAGGAAACACATATTGATTGAAGGATAAATGACAAGGAGCAAAACCCCACTGCGTGATCACAAGCATCCCCTGCCATCTCCAGAGGCCTCAGAGGTCCTGTCTGGGACAGGCAGCTTTCCGAGAGGACCTGCAGGAGACCAGAGCCCCTGGATACTGCAGATGTAACTGGGGAAGAGGGTCTCAGGGCAGTAACTGCCAACTGTTGTCTTTGTCCCTGTAGCTGCAGCCCAACCCAACGCACTCAATGCCCCCAGACAACTCAGTGGATCCCTGGCAGTGACCCAGCATTGAAATGGCCACTAAGAAGCCAAGAAACTCTGATTTATTCTCAATAAACACAGACATCCATGAACCATTTTGGGTCATCAGTGTCAAGCTCTGCCTGAAAGTCTCAAGTATGGGTCACAGTCACTGTGGTGAAACCCATAACAGTGGGAAAACATCCCCACCAAACTATGGACATTAAAAAGGAACTGTGTGAGAAGATCCACCAGGTCAGTCCTCAGATGAGTAAAAATTTATCTGCTACAGAGGCGGAGAGCAAAAGGCATTGGATTGTGACTCAAATAACTAAAAGAGGTGTAATTCATTTAATCCATGAGCTGATACAAACACTGTCAGAGTGCAGGACACTGGTTTATGACATAACATGAGGAAGAAAGTAGGTGGTATCCCTCAAGGGTCAGTCTTGACATGGATGCTCTTCAACATCTTCATCAATGACACAGATGATGGCATCGAGTGCACCCTCAGCAAGTTTGAAAATGACACCAAGCTGAGCAGTGCAGTCGATCCATTGGAGGGAAGGGAAGCCATCCAGAGGGACCTGGACAGGCTGGAGAAGTGGGACCATGTGAACTGAAAGAGGTTCAACAAGGCTAAGTGCAAGGTGCTGCACTTTGGCTGGAGCAATGCAAGGTGTTTATACAGACTGGGCGAAGAAACGCTTGAGAGCAGCCCTGCGGAGAAGGACTTGGGGGTCCTGGTGGATGAGAAGCTGGACATGAGCCAGCAGTGTGTCCTTGCAGCCCAGAAGGCCAACTGTGTGCTGGGCTGCATTAAAAGGGGGTGGCCAGCAGGGAGAGGGAGGTGATTGTCCCCCTCTACTCGGCTCTTGTGAGGCCCCATCTGCAGTGCTGCATCCAGCCTGGGGCCCCCAGCACAGGACGGATGTGGAACTCTTGGAGTGGGTCCCAAGGAGGGCATTAAGATGGTCAGAAGCCTGGAGCACCTCTCCTATGATGAAAGGTTGAGGGAACTGGGATTGTTTACCTTGGAGAAGAGAAGGTTCTGAGGAAATTTTTTGTGGCCTTCCAGTACTTGAAGGGTGCATATAAACAGGAGTTGGGACAGCTATTTAGGAGGGTGGGTAGTGATAGGACATGGGACAATGCTTTTAAACTGAGACTGGGGAGGTTTAGGTAAGATATTAAAAGGAAGTTTTTCACTCAGAGGGTGGTGAGGCACTGGGACAGGTTGCCCAAGGAGGTTGTAGATGCCCCATCCCTGGAGGCATTCAAGGCCAGGCTGGATGTGGCTCTGGGCAGCCTGGTCTGGTGGTTGGCAACCCTGCCTGTGGCAGGGGGATTGAAACCAGATGATCATTGTGATTCTTTTCAATACAGGCCATTCAATGACTCTGTGATACCATAGGCATGTTATGGAAAAGGCTGTGAGTCATTTGTTGAGACAGATGAGAAGACGATCCCTGATGAAATTTGTCCATGATATCATTTTCCTCACGGCATCCTTGAGCTCCTGGTTCCTCATGCTGTAGATGAGGGGGTTCAGTGTGGGAGGCAGCACCGAATACAGAAATGACACCACCAGGTCCAAGGATGAGGAGGAGATGGAGGGGGGCTTCAGGTAGGCCAAAAAGTCAGTGCTGACAAAGAGGGAGACCACGGCCATGTGAGGGAGGCACGTGGGGAAGGCTCTGTGCCATCCCTGCTCAGAGGGCATCCTCAGCACAGCCCTGAAAATCTGCACATAGGACACAACAATGAAAACAAAACACACAATTACGGCAAGAACACTAAACACAATAAAGCCAATTTCCCTGAGGTAGTCTGATTCTGAGCAGGAGAGCTTGAGAATGTGGGGGATTTCACAGAAGAACTGGTTGATGGCACTGCCTTGGCAGAGAGGCAGTGAAAATGTATTGGCAGTGTGCAGCAGAGCAAAGAGAGCCCCAGTGCCCCAGGCAGCTGCTGCCATGGTGGCACAAGCTCTGCCGTCCATCAAGGTCCCGTAGTGCAGGGGCTTGCAGATGGCAACGTAGCGGTCATAGGACATGATGGTGAGAATGCAATACTCTGCTGAAAAAAGAAAGACAAACAGAAAGGTCTGGGCAACACATCCTGAGTAGGAGATGGTCCTGGTGTCCCGGCGGACATTAGCCATGGCTTTGGGGAGAGTGGTGGAGATGCAGCCCAGGTCGAGGAGGGCGAGGTTGAGGAGGAAGAAGTCCATGGGGGTGTGCAGGCGGTGGTGGCAGGCTACGGCTGTGCTGATGAGGCCGTTGCCCAGGAGGGCAGCCAGGTAGATGCCCAGCAAGAGCCAGAAGTGCAGGAGCTGCAGCTGCCGCGTGTCTGCCAACGCCAGCAGGAGGAACTCGCTGATGGAGCTGCTGTTGGGCATCTGCAGTTCCTGGGCATGGAGTCCTGTTCAGAGTGCAGAAAACAATGACAAGACATTTTTCAGAGACACTACTCCCCTCCTATTACAACAGTTTTTCTTTGTCTTTGGAAAATATTCACTTAACTTCATAACTTGGATTTACATGAGCTACACCATCCCTTAAGTTGAAGCTGAAAGAGCTCTTACTTTCCTCTCATTTCCTAATCATACCCCAGCCTCCTGGATATTTTCCTCCTATGACCAATTTCCATGCCTTGTATCTTTACCCCATCTGTACTCACAGTGCCCATCCCAAATTCTGTGCACTTAAATTTCTGTTAGAGAAAGCTGCTTGTTTGCAGATAAGTGCATTATTCATGTCTGCAGGGAATTATGGTAATTTTGCTGGTGTTGTCCTTTGGGAGAAGAGAGGTTGAAAGTACATGAGGAGGTTGTTCATATAACTGCAGACTGAGAAACATACAGTTCAGGATTCTCTGATATCTTCATAGTTCACATCTCCTTCCAGAATTCTGCCTCCAACTCACTCTCCTTCCCTAAGAACAGGCATTGGAAAATCCCTGCCCTGTCTCTCCTCTTGCAAAGTGCCCTTGGAAACACTCTGTGGTGCAGTGTAGCTCTGATCCCCTTTCCCAGGCAGGAGCTGTGGTAGCAGAAGGCCCCTGCCCTGCCCTGCTGTGGGACTCCTTCCCCCCACATGTCTCCCTGCAGCGCCCTGGGCAGCTCCCCGGGCATGCTGAGTGCTGAGTGCTGAGTGCTGAGTGCTGAGTGCTGAGCCTGGCAGGCGGCAGCGTCATAGCCTGCAGTGAGACTTACCTTGTCAAAGGCTGTGAGCAATGCTCCTGCAGTGAGCTCAACACCTGCTCACACCGTACACATCCTACAATCCCTCTCTCCTTTCTCTCCTCTCCTCCTGTCACCCGCAGGCTGTGCTGTGCAGAAGAGCTGCTCCTGGGCACAGCTGTCTCTCTGCAGCGCTGCCCACTTGTAGGAGCTCCCTGTGTCCCAGGAGCCCGGCCCAGCTCAGCAGCAGAGGATGTCATTTTCTCTTCCTCACTGCTCTCCCTGGAGATTCCCTTGGGGCTGCGGGGCTGGCAGCTCCTGATAGACAACAGGGTCATCTCTGCAAAACGTGCTTTGAAGTCAGATGAATTAATCACCAGTAGACAGGCTGATTCCAGAAGCATGGTTCAACAACATAACAGATCATGTAGACCTTGCCAAGTTGCAAATGCCCCATCTGGTGTCATGGTTTTATGGCTCTTGGTATCAGTATTCCATATCATAACATCATGTAAAGCACCGGGAATTAGGGTTAGGTATTAGAGATAATACTTCAGTTCTGTGTACTGACTGTTCTGGATACCTGGTTCTCAGAAGAGAAGAAGAACTGCCTTTCCTGAGGACTCTGAGTTCAGAGGGGAAGATAAGCCATGGGAGGAAGTCCCGGGATCTCTCACTTGCTCGCTGCCTGGCAGTGTGTGGCTGCGCTCCCCAGCCGTGCGCCTTCAGTTCAGTGTAAGGCTTCTGGTTTCAGACACTCGCTCTCTCATTATATTTGATTTATTACCCTAAATTCCAATTTTATTTTATAACATTGTGTTATCTTAGGTTCCAATATCATATTTAGTAAAAATAAGTTTCCTCCTTAGATCTTTGCCGCTGTTTTTTATTATTTTAATTATTATTTCTTTATGTATTTTTATATTATATTATATTATATTATATTATATTATATTATATTATATTATATTATATTATATTATATTAATTTATTTTTTGGCCAGTGGAAGTGCCAAGCCTTCTGCCCTCTGTAACGGACACACATTGATCCAGATAACTCTGTAACAAGACAACACACTCAGTCATATGCTCTGCTTTTAGGACAGGCATGTGTTGGCACACATGTGCCAATGTGGGACCTGATGATCACTATGGGTCCTTTCCATTGCGGGTTGTCCCAGGATTCTATGACAGTGGGTACGAGCACTGTGATGTTGGATCACTGTGCTGTCACAGTGGGTAGGAGTTCAGTGGCAGCACAGTCACGGTGTTGTCTCGGTAGTGTGGAGAGCAGTGATGTCAGAAATACTGAGTTGTGGCAGAGGTCAGTACTGCAGTGATGTCAGAGTCACTGTGCTGGAAAGGGGAGACAAGCTCAGTGATTTCAGCTCCACTGTGTTGTCACAGCTGATATGAGCACAGTGGTGTTGCAGTCAGACAGGAGCTCTGCATGTGGGTGAGCATCAAACACGGCATCCCCAGAACCAAATGCTACCAGTGAGAAAATGGTGCCTCCACCTTGGGCCTGAGAGTTCAAAGTTCTGTTGTGATTGACTGTTTGTTCAGACTGGGCCCTTCTCACGTCCCACATCCTGGGATGAGAGACACTGCCCACATGGGACTTGGACCTCACAACATCCTTGCACCCCATGCAGTCTGGCAGCTGCTGTGCCCTGGTCTTTCATTTGACATCAGACAAACCTCCATCCCACTGCCCCAGGAAGGGCCCTGAGCCAGCAGGAGGGACACGATCTCCCTGCCAAGGCTCTGGGGATCAGGCCTTGGCCTTTCTGCTTCACAAGACAAAGGAGGCTTTTCTGAGCATCACAGCCACCATCCCAGTGCCTTGGTCTGCCTGCAATCATGGCTTCCCATTATCTGCTCTAACAAGTCCCTGGGGAAGCTGGCTTGTCAATGGCCCTCAGTGGGGTCCATTAATACTCCAAGAAACTTCACTGTTCCTTCTGACTTTGTCTTCTTGAGTACTTCATGCAATCTTCTCTGTGCACTGGAGGTTGATGGACTCAGCAGCAAATGCCCCGTGGGGCCCATTACAACCTGAAGAGCCCTCCTGTGCCTTGTGCCTTCCTGTCATCTTCTTCAGCTGTTCAGAACTTGTGCAGCAAACTGGAGAGGTATCTGGAGACCACTTAAGGGTGATTAAACCAACAGACATTTATTGACTATTTATTTACATTTGGGTTTAAACAAGAATTTAAAGCAGCAGTTGGCAACTGATATCGATCCAAGATGTCCCCTAATGGACTTTGTTCTGTCACTGTGTGGACAAATGACCTCCTCAACTTTTCCATCCCCTTTCTACACATTTTTCCTTAAGGGACTTGCATCACTTTTCCTCACATCACACTTCTCCTCTGCAGTCACCACTCGGGGTTAAACTTCTTTTGTACCAACTCCCACTGGTTTTCCACAGAGAACCAGCTGCACACAGGCTAGGAAAGATTTCTCTCTCTGTCTTTTTTTTTTTCTTTTTCTTTTTTTTTTTTCCAGCAAACAATTGTAAACATGACACAATTAAATGAATAGTAAAACACAGTGATCAACTGCATGCCTTGTCCAAGATGCACCTAATAAGGTTTGTCTTTCACTGGGAATATTTGTACAATAAATGAGTTAGATAGGGATAGGAAGGGATAGATACAGTCACAACTAAGAAACTGAAAAAAGAGTCCATCACATTTTGGAGAGATGGAGCAAGTTCCACTAATCTCTGTGAAGGTCTCAGATCAGCCAGATAGTTGGGAGGTATCAGAGTGAACACAGAGCAAGAGATGGGGAAATATGGAGAGCTGTCAGAAGAGCATGTGTCCAGATGGCCTGCTGAAAACATGCCCTGAACCATAGTCATTGATTTAGGAGAGCTGGAGACACCTGGAGGATGAGGGACATCAAATACGCAGCAGGGTAGAGCAGCAGTGGACGCTGGGCATTAGTCAGAGGGCATTGGCACTGGCACCACTGTCTGTGTCCCTGTACCTGAAGGCATCTGTATCCTGCTAACACAGTTCTTTAAAACACTGTCCTTTTAGGAAAAAAAAAATGAAAATTAATAAATAAATAAGTCACACAGTATCCTCTCAAATAGGAGTGTTTTCAGCTTAAAAAGTGAGAAATGACACATGAGAATATTTGAAGTTGAGAAGTGTTAACACATTTATATCATCTCCCACTTGCAGACATCTTCCTTGTGTTGGGGATCTGAAATGTGGAGGCACTACTCTGCTTTATGCTTTCCTTCCATCTTCTAGCCATGGTCTTGCTCAAACACAAAAAGGTGGAGACGGACTTCTTACATTATTTCTGAATTGTAGGGCTAGGATGACAAGATAGTAAACTGAAAGAGAGATTTACATTAGACATTTGGAAGGAATTTCTAACATTCCATAGATCATGATGTGAGGCATTGAGCTGGTAGGGAACAGGCTGCCCAGAGAAGATTAGGTGCCCCATCCCTGGAGATGTTCGAGATGTCAAGGGCTCCAAGCATCCTGATCTACTGTGGGACAGCCCTGCACACAGCAAGGGAGATGGAACTGGATGGTCTTTAAGGTCCTTCCAACTCAAACCATTCCAAAATCCTACGATTCCTGTCAGCCTCTTCCAACAGGGGATCCTGTTTGCTTAGGTATTCCCTGATCACCTCTATCTTCACCAAGGACATCTGCCTTGCACCAACATTTCCCACCTGTCTCTGGCACCTAGGATTCCAAGAAGACCAGTCCAATTAATAAACTGTGAGGTCAGGAAGGAAATGAGTATGAGAGGCTTTTCCATGTCCTGTCTCACCAGGTTCCCTCCCCCATTGTACTGTGGGCCCACATTCTCTCCAGCTTTTCTTTTGTAGACTACATATTTCTACAAGCCCTTCTTGTCTCTGATATGCTCGGGCACATTCAATTGCAGTTGAACTCTGACTTACCTATACTCATCTCAGCAGGTACGCTGGACAAAGTCTCTGCATTGCTGCAAGGTGACCTCTCCTTTATTCCACTACATATTTGCTTCCCTTTCTGTGTTTGGGTGAGACCAATGCAATCCATTCCCACTCATGCAGGAATTCTGACATTTTTATTTGGCTTCCCCTTCCTTGGAATGGACGTATTCTGCCTGGAAGCCAAGATCCTCAGATAGTTATCACATTTGTTGACGCTCTTCCCTCAGAGCCTTTCCCTGCTGTTCTGTACCCCACAGACACTTGAAGAATACAAGATGTGTTCTCCGGAAGGCAAAAGCTGTTTGCCTTTTGCCCTCCCTTCAGACTCCTCAGCTCCATCATCCCATGGCCACTGCAGACCAGTTCCCTTTGGCATTCTCTTTCCCCACCAGCCCTTCCTTGCCGGTGAGTATGAGATCCGGCAGAGCACCTCTCATTTCTGGTTCCTCTATGGCTTGGTCAAGAAGCTGCCATCTGTGCTCTGCAGGGATCTTCTAGATGGTGGATGCCGTGCTCTGCTGTCCCAGTAGTGGAAAAGGCCCCCGAAGTGGACAAGGGCCTGACAACATGAGGCTCCCATCTGTATGCAGAGGGCACCTTCCACTTGTTCTTTCCTATCACGAAGCCAGGAGCAGACACTGTTGGTCTCCTCGGTTTGCCATTGCCATTCGCTCTGACCTGGCTGCTCTGCCATCCCCAGGAAGAGCTCAGTGCATTCTCACAGAGGGCAGTGGCCCTTCCTTGGGTTCTTGCCCATCCATTGTAAAGACCTGTGCTACAGTCCAGTTGTGGAAGCCATTAAACAGTGTTCCTGTGGTCCAAACAAGAGCTCAGACCTGCAAGTGTACAAAGCTTTCTAGCTCAGCATGTGCTGGTGTTCCCATTAGTGTAAAAACACATTAAAAAAACCATCCTATTCAGGAGGCATTATTGGATTCAGTGCATCCATGGTATCATAGAATCATAGAACCACAGGTTTGGAAAGGACCTACAAGACCATCTAGTCCAACTGTGCTCCCATCACCGTTACTACCACCAGCACTAAACCAGATCTCGTAGCTCCTCATCCAGACGCCTCTTGAACACTGCCAGGGACGGCGACTCCACCACCTCTCTGTGCAGCCATTCCAGTGCCTGACCACTCTCTGAGAGAAAAAGTTCTTCCTTATGTCTAACCTAAACCTCCTGTATAACTTGCAGCCATTTCCCCGGGTCCTGTTTGTTGCCTGGGAGAAGGCAGGCCTCCCTTCAGGAAGTTGTAGAGTGCAATGAGGTCTCCCCTGAGCCTTTTCTTCTCCAGACTGAAGAATCCCAGCTCCCTCAGCCGCTCCTCTTAAGACTTGTGCTCCAGACCCCTCACCACTTTCATTGCCCTTCTCTGGACACGCTCCAGGGCCTCAATGTCTTTCTTGTAGTCAGGGGCCCAAAGCTGGATACAATAGTCAAGGTGTGGCCTCAGCAGAGCTGAGTACAGTGGGATGATTCCCTCCCTGCTCCTGCTGGCCAAACTATTTGTAATGCAGGCCAGGTGTCATTGGCTCTCATAAATCAATGGCATTTATAAAGATGTCACAAAGGCATTGAACACACTGTGGGGCGCCAAGTTGTCCAAGCAGCACAGACATTCCTGGGCACGGCTTTCCTGAAGGCCCAGTGCTGAATTTGCAGCTGCATGTGAGTGCGTTGGACAGCCCTGGGAACTGGCATGACACTAGGCTGCTTCTGATGCCATTCACATGAGAGCCCATAGAAAACTGAGGTTTCATCAGTTGAAGAATAAAGACGTGTATTAGCTTTGTAGTGCCTTAAGTTTGTCTTTCTGATATCAGCACAGCCATAGCCTGCCACCACTGCCTGCACACCCATGGACTTCTTCCTCCTCAACCTCGCCCTCCTCGACCTGGGCTGCATCTCCACCACTCTCCCCAAAGCCATGGCCAATGCCCTCTCGGACACCAGGATCATCTCCTACTCAGGATGTGCTGCACAAGTCTTTTTCTTTTCTTTTTTTTGTTTTCAGCAGAGTATTGCATTCTCACCATCATGGCCTATGACCGCTACGTTGCCATCTGCAAGCCCCTGCACTACAGGACCTTGATGGGCAGCAGAGCTTGTGCCACCATGGCAGCAGCTGCCTGGGGCACTGGGGTCCTTAATTCCCTGCTGCACACTGCCAATACATTTTCACTGCCTCTTTGCCAAGGCAATGCCATCAGTCAGTTCTTCTGTGAAATCCCCCAGATTCTCAAGCTCTCCTGCTTATACACCTACCTCAAAGAAATTTGTCCTCTTGTGGTCAGTGCCTCTTTAGCATCTGGTTGCTTTCTATTCATTGTTGTGTCCTACGTGCAGATCTTCAGGGCCGTGCTGAGGATGCCCTCTGAGCAGGGATGGCACAAAGCCTTCTCCACGTGCCTCCCTCACCTGGCCGTGGTCTCCCTGTTTCTCAGCACTGCTTTTTTTGCCCATCTGAGGCCTGCCTCCCTCTCCTCCCCATCCCTGGACCTGGTGGTGTCATTTCTGTACTCGGTGGTGCCTTCAGCTCTGAACCCCGTCATCTACAGCATGAGGAACCAGTAGCTCAGGGGCACAGTGAGGAAAATGATGTCATGGTCACATTTCAGTAGGGATAAATTTACCCTCTGTCATAACAAATGATTCCCAGTCTGTCCCCTAACATACTTGTTATTTTTTTTTAATGTTTAAAATACTTAATTATATTAATATCTACATTTTTCTTTGCTGTTCATATATCTGCATAATTATCATTAGTGGTTATTGTGTTCCTAAACATGTGTTTGGATTCCAGTCACTTTCCTGAGGCATCATCCTGCTCTCTTTCTCCTGGAGCCCATAGGAACTTGGGGTCAGTGCTGACTCTCTCACAGCCTCTGTGTTCCATCTCTGTATCTGCAGGCAAATGAGAAGCCAGCAGGCTCCGTGGTCATGATATGGGCTGGATTAGCAAAAGGATCAATGTATTAGTATAAGGATCAATATATTACATTAGCAGAACGAATCGGTGTGTGCTCATCTTAAATGTTACCATTTAGCTTTGTGTGTGAACAGCCCTGTTTTTATCACTTCTGTTTCACAGAAGCACTGCAATCACATTTGTTTGCCTCCGCCAAGTGCAAGGACTTGTTCTTGAGTTTGGTATCAACTGTTTGCAGTTATAGTGCACCAAGACAGAAAGCTGCTGATTGTGCAAAACAAGCAATGGAAATTTGTCAAACTGGGGGAAAAGAGCTAAAAGGTGAGCCAGGGCGCACCATGATGAAGAGGAAGATGAAACAAAGGGGAGGAAGTAGGTGCTGTGAGAAGGAGGACGTGCGGTGTCAGGGGCTGTGCTGGGAGCCCATCTCTGTACCACTGCACGCATGCTGCCCCACACAGTGCCTGCACTGAGCTGCCAGGGGCTGTCTGTGGGGTGGTGGGGCCGGGCTGTCCTGCAGAGGGGAACGCACACGGAGCCTCCTGCTGCAGGGCTGGGACCCCAAAATCAGCCTGGAACTCAGCGCCCAGCTGTGCTGTGCTCACCTTGCCTGGCTCCCAGGTGCCTCCTATGCTGCTCTGTCACTGCCCCTCCCCTACAGGATGGGAGAGAAAACACAATTCAACAATTCCTGGTTTGAGGGAAAAGGTGCTTTATTCTTTCCTTGCTTAAAACCCACGAGAACAAATTGTGTGTATTAATGGCTACATATCAAATGTAATGTTTTCTGCACACTTTGGAACAGCTATTGCATTTAGCATCCCTTCCACCTTAATATATTAATTGAAACCATACGTAACCCACAACACATGACTAATTGTTTATATAATTTAAATGATTTCCAACACAGAAATCTGCTCACAGTCAGTTAGGATTTCACATCCCTCTTATTCCTTACCTACTTACTCTAATTAAAATGATATGCCACTTTTGTATTTCTCTGTTCTCTCACATCCTGAACTTTCTTTTTCTTTTCTTTTCTTTTCTTTTCTTTTCTTTTTTTCTTTTTTTTTTTTTTTTTCCCTAATATTTACCAATAATTCCCTAAAGTAACCCCGTGTACCCCTTAGTTATTTCTGTTCTTGCTGTCAG